AGGTGCCCCAACCCGCCCCCCCCCCCCCAGTCATGCAGTGTAATCAGACTGGGCAGGCCGCCACATACAAATCAACGCGCTTGGAAAGTGAAATGCCCAGGGGCCTCGAGGATTGTCGGGGGCATCAAAGGATTGTGGAGGGGCTGCTCCTGTCTCTTGCATCTGCGCTGGGCACACCCTCCCCTTGCGCCTCCCAAGGGGAACAGGCCTCACTGAGCACCAACGGGCCCAGCGTGTAAACCGAAGGAGGAAAGGGCACCATCGTGGGGCGAGAGACGGCGTCTGCCGGGTGCAAGACCGAAAGCCCAGCAGGGTTCGTGCTTCACCTTCAGCTGATACTGGGCTTGAAGCTGCCCTCGGTGCTGCTTCACGGCGGCCACGTATCTCAGGATGCGGCTGACCCCCTCCCGCAGCAGCTCCGCCTGGTAGCTCTCAGCCGCCTGCGCAACCCGACTCTTCTTCCGCTGCTGCTCCCGCACAAAGCCTCTCCAGGCCCCAAGCACCTGCGGCCGAGACACAGCGGGGGAGCTGAGAGCAGGATCCCCTCACTCGCCTTCTGGCGCTCCAAGGGGGACAGAGAGGGAGACCTCACCGGCTGCTGCGCTTGGGGAAAATGACCACCCGGCCGGCCGGCCCGCCCGACAAAGCTCTCCTAGCGGGGGGGAGCCGCTGCCCTCGTTGGCAACGAAGGGAAATCATACCTTTGCGGGGAGAGTCGTTAATGGAACAAATTACAGCAATTACAAGGGAACTTCTCTTCCAGTTTTTGAATTTCATCATAAGAATGCACATTCTACAGAAGTGGATGCAGCTAGTGAGCAGAGAGATGTTTTTTTAAGCAGGATAAATCTTTCAGAAATGCCTGACTGTGCCCTGATAGTTGGCAGAAGTCGATGGCCTGGTGGCAATGAGGAAGCCAGGCAGAGCAGCTCTAGAAACGAAGAACCAAGCAGTTCCTGTCCTCTGGAATCTAGTTCTCAAGGGCAATGCGGCCCCTGCAATTTTGAGGACTCTGTAGGGACAAACGCCCCTCACTTGTAAGCGGAGGAGTCAGGCTATTCGAGGATGGAGAAGTGACCAATCCGTTTTAAAAGACCTCATAGGGAACCAAGTGTCTCTGTGTGTGCAAGAAGCACATGAGCAAAAGCACAGGCTAAGCCAGTGAGAAACAGACACACTGCTCTCGGCTGGCCTGAAAGCCCGCAGCCACCCTGTGCTCCTGCGGGCAGATCCAACTGTCGCTGCTGCACAAACTCCTCTTCCTACCTTTGGCCTCCTTCACTCTTTGGCTGCGGAGCTGCTGCTCCATCATGCTGGGCAGAATCTGACCTTTGTCCAAGTTGTTATCACCTGTGTCTCTGTTGATACTGATGCTCAGATTTTAAAAGGTACACGGGTGAGAAGATTATGGAAGCTATTTCCTGTGAAGCCTGGTTCCATAAAAATGTATCGGGCTTTATATAATCTGAGAGTTTGGGTTGATGCAATACCCTTGTTGCATGCTGATAAATATGAATCTACGATGTGAATACTAAAGCCCTCCAAAACATCCTAAGTAAACCAAAAGACCCAGTAGCCCAAGAAGGAAAAACAGGAGTCATTTACAAGATACAGTGTAAGGACTGCAACAAACACTATGTAGGACAGACAGGCAGAAGACTAGCAGAGCGCATCCACGAGCACCAACTAGCAGT